AAAAAAACATGTAAAAAAGTAGGGATGATGCCATCAACCCATCTTAGTATCTTAGTATGCATTTACCAAGTTGGCACCGATTATCGATTTAGCATCATAACTGGATTTCTGAATTTCACTTTAAATAGGATTTTCCTTTTATTAGAGATTTAGTTGGTTTCTAAGTAATAATAATAATGACAAATTAGATTAGGATACTTCTTGCAGGATAAGGGCGTGTAAGCTGTACAAGGAGATCCACTGTTAGTAAATTCTTTCAAAATTTTTTTTTTTCAATTGGTCTAAAAATGAAAAGTCTTCATGTTTTACTGAAAATAATAATTTTTTTTCTAAAATAATTTTTATATAAACATATAACTTAATTTGTGAATGGTATTCTTGATCTGTATTTTCCATATTAATAAATAAATAAATATATATATATAGTCTAATAACTTTTTCTTCTCTTTTTGATCCACTTCACCATTCAATAGTTTAGGTTCTTTTTTATCCACTTCACCATTCAATAGTTTACCCACTCTATAAAATTCTTGGTTATATAGTCTAAATCAGTTTAGATAATGTACAGTGCATTCATATATTTCATTCTCCATTATTTGAGATTTACAATGTCAAAGGCCTAGTGTAATGCTTATTGCTTAAATTGGTTCCTCAAAGTTTACATTGAAGCACCATTTGAAGATTCAAATAAAAGGTTTGATTGTAATTCAATAAAGAAGTTTTCCATTGTTTTCAATTGCTTAAATTGGTAAAAATATGAAAAGTCAACTTCCACAGTAGAAGAAGGTTCATTACTCGCTGTTCAAAGTGTAAAATATTTATTGCGCATTAAATATGAGTTCACATCTGCACCCCACAAGGGGTGCCTCACAGTGTCCCATAGCACATCCCTATCATGTATTGAGAACATCTCATCGAGACTGGTACTATCATCGGGAGATATTTCTAATACACAGCGGGGATGTGCTGTGGAACGTTGTGGGGCACAGATGTGAACTCGTTAAATGTATGCTCTCTTCTTGTAATAACAAGGTTGTTCTAGGAAAGAAAAAAGATACCAAGATTGTTTTTGCATCTGTGAAAAAGAGCTGGACTATGCACATAACACCTGCAATTTCTTTTTAGTAATTAATTAAGATATGACTCTGTCTGTTAACCAGTGTTTTTGCTATAATTGAAAGTTTTATTTTTGTTTTCTTTCAATAAAAGTCTTGGACAAATGACTTTTTCACTAGATCATATATAGTAAGTGTTATGTATTTGACTTAACTAGTTTAAACCAAGAATCCTTAAAAGAACTTCCCTTCCATGAATGAATGTATCACCTATTTTTATTCTTTTTCCATCATTAAACAAAAGGAAAAAAATAAAAGGAAAAACGAAAGTTCAGAACCCTCTCATATATATTTTAGGTGTAGTTATTATTTTCTTCCTCCAGTTTGGGGAGTTGCATTTTTAGTTTCCCACTTCATTTCCACTATTTGGATCAAGAAAAATTGCAGTTTCTACCTTTATCATTTAAAATTAATTTATATTAAATTATATTTAATTATATATTTAAGAAAGGCAATCAAAATTCGTTAAAAAGCAATAATATATGATTTTGGGAACTTAGAAAGAAACACACTAATGACAAGAAACAAATGGAAACCTGCAAGTCTTGACCATATAAAACTCTTAAACTAGATAAAGCATTATTAGTTAATATTTTTACAATTAACAACAATATAATATATTAACAAGTAACAACATTAATTATGCCAATCTAATCATAGTCATGATATTATATATATTACCTTAGAGACCATGTGAGTTGATCTTATAGAAATTCTAAGGATGTTAATTAAGATAATAGTGATACTTTTTTTTCTACTAATTAAAATATCAAACTAGAAGGATGGCTTGTTGCCTTATCAAGAAAAGTTAGAACTTTTTTTGGGGGGGAAATTCCTCAAGAATTCCCAATAACTATGTTTGTTGCTATCTAACTTGTTTCCTGTTAAGCTTGTCTATGTTTTTGTACACGCAAGAAAGAGTTGATACGAGTTGAAATCAGTCCCCCCATAAGATAGTTTCTCACAACGTCCCACAGTACATCCCCCCGTATATTAGAAACATCTCATGATGATGCCTCATCATTTTCTGGTACTTTTCTAATACATGGTGGGGATGTGCTGTGGAACGCTATAGGAAACTATCTTATGGGGGGTTGATTTGAACTCAGTTGGTACAGCTAAGGGTTCTAATTAGAAAGGATGAATTAAGGAGTTAGATAACTCCTTAGGAAGGTTAAACGGTATGTTGAACCCCTTGTTTTCTTTTTTCTTTCATTCAAAGTGGCTTAGAAATCGAAGATCCGTGATGCAAAAATCAAGGTAATCAAGTAATTGTAATTACACCATTCATCCCTTATTTTGAGAAGGAAATCAATAAAGTAATTTGGGCTAGTTATAAACTGATAATTTCCCTGTATTATTATGAATGTATAAGGGACAATTCAATAGGAGACTACCTCCATAAATCATCTGAGCATCAAATCCATTGCATCTAGCCACAACTTGATTATGAAATTAAGAAAGGAAATGAAGAGTATAATTGTGGTTCTTACTCATTAAGTAATTAATAAGATCCTAAACTCTAGACCCTAAGACTCGAGAAATAAACATAGTGGTGATTTATTGATTGACTGATGAAATTTTTACTGTCTGTCCCCACCACCGAGTCCCCACTAATCTATGTAATATCAAAAGTAGAAAAACAGAAGCTTTTTAATTTCAGAACATAATTGATTTTTCGTTCTACTAGATGGAAGGAAATGGAAATTAATAGGGCCCATTTGGTTCAAATCAGAATCAGAATCAAAATCTATTAAAATTGGAATCAGAATAATCTCTATTTTTATAGTTTGTTTAGTTCAAACAGTAATCAAAATGGGATTTTATTCTCAAGAAAGGGGAAAGGAATGACCATTACCTCAAATGGAGAAATATTCATTCCACCAGAAATGGGAAAGGGATTTCGATTCCACCTAATACAATAGTTGGAATGGGAATGAAAATGGGACATTTCAATTCCGATTCCAGACCCTTCCCATGAACCAAATAGGCCCTTAGAGCATTGCCACATGACGTACTTAAGTGATGGATGGTGTGTGTGGCTGATCCAAACCAGCTAATTAATACTTGGTAGGAGACCCCTGGATTTACCACATTTTTAATTCATCCACTCCCCAGTAGCCCTAGCTATAACCCACCTTGTATCGGTGGTTTATGTAGCCAATAATAACTGTGGCAAGATCTTTTGCACAGAAAACTATCCTCTGTAACAAAAAAAAAGGGGGGAAATTGTCAAAAACTCACCATGAGTTTTTAGCATTTCTCTTAAACTCACAACATTTCAAAATGTCTAAAACTCACCATGTCACTAACTTGACGTTAAAAAGACTAACGACTGTTAATATATTACCATTTTAACCTTCACAGAAAAATACAAAATATAAACATATATAAAATATATACATATATTTTAATATTTAGATATGAAAAAAAAGGAAAAGTTCAAATAATATTTTCAAATATAAAATACATAAAAACACAGAAATTGAAAAAAATATAAAAAATTATAGAAATTGCACACAAAATAAAAACTTATAGAAACTATAGAAATTGAAAAACAAAACTGTAGAAAAAACACCAAAAAGTATAGAAAAACACAGAAATTGCAAATAAATAACAAAAAATACAGGAAATTTTATAGGTTGTAGATAGAAAATATAAAAAAAAATTATAAAAAACATTAGAAATTATAACAAAACACTAAAATGTAAAAAAATGAAAAATGAAAAATACCCTTTTCCTCTAACTCGCCATTCAAGGGTGATTTGGTCATAAAAATTGTTATTTATGCTGACGTGGACACCTCCGTTAAGAAACATTAATGATGCACTAATGGAATGTGAGTTTTAGAAAATAAAAACTTACTGACATGGTGAGTTTTAGACGTTTTGAAAAGTTGTGGTGAGTTTAAGAGAAATGCTAAAAACTCATGGTGAGTTTTAGACAATTTCCCAATATATATATATATAGGATACATGGGGAGAGGAATATAGGGTGTCCTTTTGGACCAGAAAACAATTTACCATTCATGGGCTTTTACTCTTTTTATTTTTAATTAAAATTATTACTCATTGCATTGCATTTAAGTTTTAACAAATTTTCATTTCAAATTTTTAGTCCAAATTTCGGTTATATTGTGATTTCATTCACTTGAAATGGAAGTATATTGTAATTTCAAGAAATTCCTCAGCAAAATCAAAGCCCATGATTTAGACTATTGGAACGGATGAACTACAGAGTCAAGTTTGGATAGGCGAAGGTAATTAATTTTTGAAATTATTTGACTATATTGTAACGTCACGGTTGGGTTGACTCATTGATTATTAAGGTCATGTTTGAGTTGATAAAAATAAATAAAAAAAAAAGAGAAAACAAAAAGAAACAGAAGAAATTCCCTCAAGTTTCTGCTGCTCTCTTATCTTCTGTCAAACCAAACACACCTTGGGTGGACTAACCAGAAATCAGAATCTACATTGATAGAGAAAATCCCATAAAATTATGTTATGCCTCACGTGTTAAGAACCAAAGATGGAAATAATCTCCTGGAGCAATCCTTCTCACTCATCATATAAATAGGACAGAGCTTAGCTGAGTCATTTACAGAAGTATGAGTTATGAATGTAACGTACTAAGTCGGTACTGTGATATATTTCTGGAATAAATTCACAGAAAAGCTTCTCAGAAGACAGAAAACCTCCAAAAGCTTTCTTCTATGGTAGTTTACTATTATAAGGCCATGCATACCAGGATATCCTTCTATTGATGGAAGATACAGCATTCACTCATCATAAATACCAAACATATCTTTCGTCTCTATAAATTCAAACTGAAGCTTTATATAACAATTGCAGTCTCATCAACAACACACAGTATTAGCTCTTCACCATGTCTGTCATGGAAGCACCAGTTGCAGAAGCCTGTCTCTCAGAGACCTCAAGCGTTTCAGCAGGCTCAGCCGGGTCTTCTCCATGCAAAGACACAGAAGACAGAAACAACAAAGGAAAGCTCCGGGAAACAGCGGAGCCGGCACCAAAGGTGATATCTGAATCTGGGGTTTCGTTTGATCTGAAACTAACACATGAGGAGTTGAGTGAAAGCTCCAAGCAGCAGGAACTCAATCTTCTGAACTGTTTGGCTGGGGGGTCTTCCTCTCAGCCACCGGAGGCCGCACCGGAATCACGCTTGAAGAAATCTGCAGAGAGGAAATCTTTCTACTGTACTTACTGTAAGAGGAAGTTTGATAGCTCACAGGCATTGGGTGGGCATCAGAACGCCCACAAACGAGAGAGATCCATGGCGAAAAGAGAACAGGGGCTAGCTGCAATTGCTCTGGGATACCCATATGGACGATACCACCCATATTCAAGCATATCAGCACTTCACCTCAATGGGTCTCTGAATAGATCGTCTCCTACTGCATCCAGCCATGTGCAGCTGCATCCTATGATTCACAAGGCTTATCATCCATGGTCCTCCTCTACTACTCAGGGATATCGTTACAGCCATGGCGGTGGTGGGGGGTTAAGATCAGCTGCCATGGTGAATGCTCAGTCTGCAGTGTCTAGGCTGAGGATGGATGATTGTTGGGCTGGCAATAATGGGTTCAGAATGCCAGGAGTGGCTACGTTTGATTCTGGTGCTCCCATTAACTTGTTTGGAGATTCCTCGGCTATACCAGCTTTGAACATTGCAGCAAATAGAGCGGTTGATGGTGGTGGTGGTGGTGGCTGTGGTGATTATCATTCCAGAGGTGTTCCTTCGGAAAATCACCCAAGTGAAGCACAAGAGCCTGACTTATCTCTCAAGCTCTGATATGATTAATTCTTGTTGTTATTGTTTTAATTTGTTTTACCTGTGCATGACTGTTTTCATGGTAGCTAGGGTTTCCTTTTCATTATTTTTGAATTGCAATGTTTATATATATATATATATATATACATAGTTTGTCATTAGTCCGTTTTATTTTATTATAAAGCAATCTTTGAAATTTTATTTCTGCATGTGTAAAGCAAAGGAAGTGATGTGAAGGGCCCTAAAAGCAGAAATTAAATAATAAGTCAAAAAAAATCAACCAATTCAACTATCTAATTTACAGATCTTAATTAACAATTCAATTTCTGGGTCATTAAAAATTCAACTATCTGATCTATAAAACTTTAATAGCTATGGTAAGCTTAAGGCTCTATGGTTAAATAAGCATGGAAATTATTAAAATATCAACATGGCCAATACCTAAGTCCGAGAAGAATGATGTATCGTATTAATATTTTAATCCTTAAAGCCTGATAAAGTCTGACCATTCAGACATAAAAGATTCTATATTGCATTGATGCTAGGCTTACATGTCAAATCTTACAAGTAGGAATTTTGTAAGCTTTTCTTTTCTTCCCCATAATAAAGAAGTTTCTTAATAGGGTTTTCTATCTTTGGGCAGGTTGCCAAGGTATTGTTTTACAAGCACCTAATTGGAAAATAGAAATTGAAAAAGCCCATGTAATCCGTTAGGCGTTTAAAAAAGGTGGAATGAAATCTCAAAATCCTTAAACGTTATGATTTGTGTTCATTAATACAAGATTTGATTAGCAAGTGAAGAGAGACACTTCATTTTGAGTTGAGATATTCTGCCAATAAAATATGTTCCAATCCTCTGCCAACTAGATCTAACACCGTACATCTCACCATGAGACTGCTGGATCCGACGTTAAAAGTAGGGCCTGCCATATATGAGATGTGTGGTATAAGATCATGTTGGTAGAGGGTTGAAACGTGTTTTATTTACAGGTGATCCAAACTTAGGTACATATTTGAAATTAAGTTCTGAATTAATAGGTTGGTGTTATTTTTAGTAAGCTTTATATAGATTTATAGTTCAGCCAGTAACAACTTGGCTTTAATTGGTTGTCTTTCTTTTCACACTAAAATCAATTTCAAATGTGGTAACTGAAAAGGGATAAGAAGGCCCAACCATAGCTAATCTAGTTTGGCAGTGAAGGGGGTTGGTTGATATAATAGTGTGCAGTTCATCTAAAAGATGGGGCCCAGATTACTACTCTTGTTTCTAAAGCTCTTATGAGTAATTGGCATCCTAAGCTTAAATGGGTCAGTGAAACGAATTAGTTGAATTAACAAAAATTCAAATCTTGTATTTTGATTCAAATAGCCACCAACCAAACATGAATTATTGCATAGAATTGAGGCCTGTTTGGGTGGGCCGAAGCTTTGGTTTAATTAGATGCTTTTACACTGAGCTGCATTAATAGAGAAGCCATCATAAGAAGCGAAGTCCTTTTTCTGAGACAGCAAATTTGGGCTTTCCATATTTTTCACCAAACATTGCTTATATACTGTCCTAACGAGACCCACCTCACAAAGACAAAAGCTGCCATTAAAAGAAGAGCCCATTTGGGAGGGCTGTGAAGCCTTGATTGAGTTGTTTCATTGAGCTTTATGCTTCTAATAAAATTTACCTTACCTTTTCTCAAAAAAAAAAAACTAAAAAAAGGAACTTCATGGAAAAACAAAATTTTGGTTGGATTCAATGGATTTTTCACCAAACATTGCTTATACTTATAGGCTACTGGGTGGAGCCAACCACACAAGTCACAAATACCAGAAGCCATCCTAAATTGAGAATTAAGGATCTGTTTGGGAAGACAGAAGCCTTGGTTGAACTGCTTTGAAAAAAGCCACATAAAGAAGCTTCGACTAAAAGTTGTTTTCTTTAATTTTTCTTTGCCGAAATAAGACAACAAATTTGTGCTTTCCACATTTTCACGAAACATTAATTGTAGGCACCTTGCAAAGCCAAAGGCCGCTTTGGAAAAGCCTTGGCGAACAAGCACTAAATGTGGCAACCATATTTTAGGTTTGGGCTTTTTCCTGTTGGGGAAGAAGAAGAGAGATGAGAGAAAGTGACAGAGAGAGAGAGAGAGAATTGACTACTGAGAGACCGTTGGCGTTGGTCGGTCTGGGCTTTTCTTGTTGGGAAAGAAGAAGAGAGATGAGAGAGAGTGACTGAGAGAGAGAGAACTGACTACTGAGAGACCGTTGGTGTTGGCCAATCAGAGACCATCGGTCGGTCTGGGCTTTTTCCCATTGGGGAAGAAGAAGAGAGATGAGAAACTATGAACTGAGAACTGAGAGAGATAGGGGAACTGGGAAAGGGTATTAAATTAATTCGAATAGAGGAAGAAAACTAGAAAAGGGATATTCGACTATTCATTTATTCAATTTTAAAAAATATAATATATAAATTATATAATATAATATATTAGTATATATACTGGTCGGTTCGATTAACCGTCGACTTTTTTAAAAAGTTAATCGAAACCGAATCAAAACTATTGACTTTTTAAGAATATCAAACCAAAACCAAATTAATTAATTTGATTAATCGATTTTTTTGTTCAGTTTTCCGATTCTTTTTGCTCACCCCTATTGGATACAACAATAACAAATTAACAATTATAACAACGGTGAAAACAATAGAATTTATTATGAGGGTTTTTGGTATAAGGTGTTGTACAATTAAAAATTTGTTTTTATACTTGATTTATGCATTGGAAAACAAAAAAAAATGTATTAGGCACAAAGTACAATGTTAAATTTTATTTATCATGAATAAAAAATTAAAAATAATTAGGCGCCTAATAAGACAAAATGCACACACAGTGCCCTCTAATAAAAACATCCAAATGGTGTTTCCTTCAAAAATCATTTCACATAATCCAAAAATGAAAAATATTAAACATTTGTACTTGTTCAACCAACTAAACAGGGTTTTGGTTTGTTTAAGTGAAAAACGCCTAAATGACACCTACCTATAATAGCACAACAACTCTATAATGCCTGTCCATGATACCAAACACTACCTATGAATATTCTCAGAACTAGAGTAAAAATTCTAACACTGTCACTTGACAAAATAATGCTAAGAGGACAGGAATTTCACCTTTGGTGTAAGCTTGGTAATGGTAGGTACTTGTTCCACAAAATGACCGTATTGGCCAAGCAATCTGCCATTCTGTTGGCTTCTCTAAGTGTTTGTCATAAACACTTGCGCTATAGTCTTCATCGACCAAATATCTATCAGCCATCTATACTAGCGTCTGTTTGGCATCGTTGCCGTTGTTCTAGAAAATGGTGATACATCAGCGTTATGTCGAAAAAAACTGTGCTTCAGGAAATGCCTATTTGTTTGGAACCATTTTTCCATAGAAAGTGGTGCTCTAAATCACACCTTGGAAATTGAGAAGGCATGGTTTGGAGCAATGTTGAATTCGGCGTTTCCTGGAGCTGCAGCTTGTTACTGCCAATAGGGACATGAGGTGGTAGTGACAAGGATATGATGTGGCACTAGATAATAGGTACCAGTGCTGAAAATGTTTCCTGGAGCATTGGTACCAAATAGAAAATATTGTTGTTGCTCTAGGAAACATCCTACCTAGCAGCAACCTTTCTAAACAAAAAAAAAGGCATTGTTTACTCAGAAAATGGTGCTTCCAATCCATACATCAGCAGCAATGGTGTTGTATCTACAGCATCGATGCCAAACATATACTATATATACAAAGCAAGGTTGTCTATGTCACGTGGCCTCTCCTTTCTCCCAACCTCCCTTCTTGCGTTCTCCTTAATTCTCTCCCTTCTCATTCCCACCACTCCCAATTTGCCAAGTCATCACCCTTTTGTCTTCCCATTCCAATTACCTAAAAGTACTCCTAAAATCTCTCTACCCTTCTCCGTCCATCCAGAACCTGGATTAGTTGAAGACAAGATTGTGTGCACCGGGCTAAGCTACCTATCACAAGTGAACACGCCGGTGTTCTTATAAAATTAATTTTACTATGAGAAATTCATTAATCTTAAAACTATTTTTTATTAATTTAAATTTTATTTAAAATAATTACATTAATAAAGTTTTATAGTAGGCCCATAGCTTAACTTGGCACATGATCACCCCTAATTAAGAATGTCATAGGCTCTTTCCACTTCATTTTCTCTCAAAAAGTCCATACGTAATAAAATGCAGAATAGCCAATAACCCATAAACCAATTTCCAACTTAAATTAATAATTCTTGAGTTTTTAAAATGTATCACAAAAATACAATTGAAAGACTACGACATGGGTTAGGTTGGCAATAAGTTGAGCCCTATAGGCTTGGGTAGATTGACACAACTTTGACTCAACCCTAACCTGAGCCTTCCATTCTTTCACTCAAACCTAACCCAACCCAACTCAATACTATGCATATTCTGAACCCGGATTCAATTCAATACCAACCCAATCCATCTCATAGTCTTTCAATAGTATTTTTGTGATACTCTTTGAAAACTCAAGAACCATTATTAATTTGGGTTGAAAATTGGTTTATGTGTTTCAAGGTTTCGTTTCTCCAGAGTAAAAGAAAAGGCCAAAAGAAAATAGTGAAAAAATCACATACTTTAAGGTTAGGGGTTAGAAGTTAGACCAAATTACAAGAATACCCTCTATATGTGTATGTATAATGACTCGATGGCTAGTGTTAGCCAAACTTGAATACGTGGGATTAAAACCCTTTACTTAGTCACCAATAATGATAACCCGACCTGAACTGAAAACACCAGTATTGGGTTTAATTAGTAACAACAAGTTACTGTAATGTGACTGTTACCACTAACATTGAGAAATTTTCCATCGCAATATAAACAGTGTTGTCTATTATGATAAGAGGTTGAATTAAACTCTTAATGAAGTTCTGAAATGTGTAAGTAACGAAACACATAGTGGAATTTCACTTACATGAACATAGAAGTGGTGCCGCTTCTCATG